GAAACTATACAGAAAAGAGTCGTGCATTTTGCTATCAAATAACTTGTACGTCAATGTCAAATTCTAATAAACTTTTATATTCGATGTTAAATTTTAATTGCTATTTTCTCTCTGGGTTTTTTCCTTAGAAGCAGCTATACATCATACAGCTCTTTGTTTCTTTTGCAAAGAGAAGAAAAGAGATGACAATATGTTTGAATGTTTTGACTGCGAAAATCCATTTTTGAAACGCATCGTTACATTTTACAATGTCTTCTATAATTGCAGTTTAGCAATGACGTCAGAATTACAAGTGTCTTGTTTGATTTTATTGTCGCAGTTATAACGCTTTTAGGGTTCCGTACATCGAAAGGCAAGACATTATTTTGATTTAATAGTTTAAATCCGATATTTGTAACCTTTTAAACTCCTTAAGAGTTAGAGTATGCAAGGCTATCGTTTCGAACATAACAACGCTATTAATTGTTTTTTTTTAAACAAATGATAACCTATGAACATTGCATTCTGTTTATATATTCGTTGATGATATCTTATCATTATTATAAATGCGATAGTTTGGATGGATGGATGGATAGATAGTTTGTCAAAAAGTATCTCAAGATTGGTTTAGGCGGTCTCGATGAAATTTGGCAAGGCTAACAACATGTTTTTAAATTCTGCGCGGACGAAGTCTAGTCGACAGCTAATGTTTTATAAACAAATGAATATTATTTAACATCGAAATAATCTGAATTTCTTTGCTAATAATTTAGAAATTAGTGCTTAAAATGGCAATAGATCATAACATCATAATCTTTTAGAACATAAATTGCAAAAAAAATCATCCATACATTTATTTCGTAATTTATGTACTTACTATGACAATTGTTACTCTAAATATACAATATGTATGTCAACTTAGATAAGAAAACTATAAGTAATAAAAATAAATGTTGCAATATAAATAAAACTTACATATTTTTTAACTAACAGTTATGCTTCCCCGCTGACACTTCGCCCGACTGAAGATTGGCCCCAGCCGCACGTTGAATACAGCATATGATAAGGTGTGATAAGCCTAGATAAGTGGGACTACTGAACTTCTTTCAATGTTAATTGTAAACGATAAGAAACATAAAAAAATATCCGATCAAAACAATATAAACAAAGTCCCATTGTTGTGAATACCGTAAAAACTCCTCATGTAGTTTTAATCAATGGATTATGTTTTTGGTAAGATATTAATCGTCACTAAGTCCTTTAATAGTCATTGAGGGAACCGCTTAGTGTAGTTTTGTGTTGTAATACTGCTCTGGAATGCTTCAATAATTATAATAATTTTACGCCTGACAATATCGAAATGCAATATTGAAATAAAAACTATTGCAGTTTTTAATGAGTTAACAATTTGTCTATTTCTCGTCTTTTAGTGAATTTGAAGTTCATTAACTGATTTTATTTGTCTGAATACGGGTAAATCTCCTATTCGTTTATTTCTGAGATCAAAATCTCTATAAACATATCGTCATCCCTGTCAGAGAAAAAATATGTTATAAACAATGTTTGAGAAAATATACTAACCATATTGGAATTAATCAAAGAATAAAACAAAAAAACTAAATACTCTTTGAAATCATAGTTACCCGTTTTTAACAGATAAGTTTATTTAAAAGTTGTGTTGATTCTTTTTTTAGTTAAACTGAAAGTCGAAAGTTTATAAAATAAGTAATTATTATATTTTTTAGTTTTCAATCCATATATCATGTGACATTTCGCTATAAAAATGTTCGTTGCATGTTTTGATTTAAGCGTACATTAATTATATTTTGTCATAGAGTTACAAATATGTGAGGCAATATTTGTAATAGGTAACACCACGACAGCTGTAGGTAACAGTGGCGCCTCCCACGCCCGCGGCGTTCTGAGGCAACTGACAACTACATGGAAAGGGCCTTATCAATCATAATATTGCTCAAACCTTGGCCGATATGTTTTACCTCTAATAAAAATGTATTTTTGACCCATTACACAATCGTTAAAACAAATGTTATTTTTAGCTATCATTTGGAATCTACGACTAGAGAAGGAGAGAAAATTTTTTAAAATTTATGAAAAACTGTTAATTTCAAATACTATTTTTTCAAAACAAATACTAAAAGCAAAATCTTGTTCGTGATTTAGCGCAATTTTTTATATCTAATACAGTAATACTCAATAATACTAATAAATTACAGCACATTATTAATATTTTGACTTTTATTGTTAAGTTTATAAACATTCGGGACAGGAAATGACTTCCGTTAATGTAGTTTGAATAATATGTGAAAAAATCCTTTTTAAAATTATAATGGAACATTGAAAATAATTTTAAAAACTTAATAACCCTGATATTAAACATTATTATAATTGTTCCGGCAACAAATGAAGGCTAAAATATCAAAAATAAATTTAATGCGACGTGCATTCGCTTTAACGAATGCATTCATTACCAAATCATGTTTTATTTAATAATTCAACAATAATTTTAGCAATGAAATAATTAATTGCTTTTTTCGGCACTAAATGTAAAATAGAATTAAAGAGAGGGGATTGGCTTTTGAAACATAGAGCTTAGCTCTAGTTAAGGCCCAATGCTTCCACATAAAAGTGAGTGTTAAAATAAAGCATTTGTTTAAATCTTTTTTTGTGCTTAAATGCTATTAGATAAAGGTAAATTGTATTTCATTAAACAATCCCACAGTTGATTTAATATCAAAAAGGTTTCATTCCAATAGAAACTTTTTGTTTCACTCCTTAACGTATAAGGCTGTTATTTAAAAAGGTTAAATTGTGTATTTATATTTATTTTAGGTATTCCAAATAAGCTTGAAAGTTTACTGCGATATAGTCCACGATAGTAGTCAAATTGCAGGATTCTACTACAAGATTGGTACGCCGTACCCTTTACAGCTACATTATTAGCGCTTCCGTGTTTTCTGCCCGCCAGCATCAATTCGTTTTTATAGCATAACAGTTATTAAAAAAACCACGCTAAATCCAACTAAACCTTCTTACGTACATGTTGGTAAGGTCATGCGCAAGAGTTGCACCGTTGAAGAAATGTTTGCTTACCGTTGTACGTCGTGTTTGTGACGCAAAACGTTTGGCAACTGGCCACTGGTCAGCGAGCAGATCATCGGCCGGTTACCACGTGGCTGTGAAAGTAACCTAGGAGATGACTTATAGTGCGATTTATGCATTTGGTCAGTGTGTATTTTTTATTATGTACTTTATCATTATGTGCCGGAGAAGTTTAAGTAAAAATAATTTACATTATCTTATTGGATGTATGTTCCTATTTTTAGTTTAATGTCTTAAAACCAGTTTCATCTAAATTTAAAACCAGTTTTCATCAGTTTTATAGTTTCATAATATTAACAACCAAAGGCTTTATTGCTCTTAATTATTTGAAATTAATTTACATGATTACTTTTGTTATTTTTGATTTAAAACTTTTTTTAATTAAACGTTTTTTTTAATTCTAGAAAATTATATAAATAAAAAAGTTTAGACAAAAGTACCAATTATTGATAGGATTACTATAGTACAGTTTACCAATGATAATCGACCTTGTACTAGAAAGCAGTCGATGGTTTGTTATAAATGCGTACACATTGATCCAAGGTCGTCCTTAAACTAATCCAATGTAATTAAAAATGTTGCCAACATACAGATTAAGAAATAAAAAACCGCGGAATGCGGTACTACTCGTATTTTGCACTTCGGTGATTATAAACAACTCTGTCGAATATACCTATTTGCTGCATTATCTTACTAATATTATAAATGCGAATGTTTGGATGGATGGATGTTTGTTTGAAGGTATCTCCAGAACGGCTAAACGGATCTCCATGAAATTTGGCATACATATAGAACATAGTTTGGAAGAATACATAGGTTACTAATTTTTTTTTTTTAATTCCGCGTTGACGAAGTCGCGGGCAACACCTGGGACACACATAAAGATCAAAGTAGAAATGGGTAATTGGATGATAAATTACACAGTTTAATAGAAAAGTTTATATGCATAGGAACCAATTTATGAGAAGGTAATTTAATGGTCAATAAATATGCAAATTATAAATGTAGATACGCATAATTTTAAAATTCAGACTTAAATTAAGATACGGAGAGAATTATCCAACTTCTTACTAATATTATAAATATTACTAGCTGTCGCCCGCGATTCCGTCCGCGCGGGATTAAAAATAGATGTTGGCCGATTCTCAGACCTACTCTATATGCTCACAAAATTTCATGAGAATCGGGCAAGCTGTTTCGGAGGAGTATGGGAACGAAAATTGTGACACGAGAATTTCATTTATAAGATATACCGATTTTTGAACGTTAAACTATACAAGATTAAAACATTGAAAATAATAATATAATTTTCAAAAACAGGGGAAATTAACCTTTAAAATTAATTAATCCGAAATGCAGCATATCAGAATATTCCGTGGAAAAATGCAAATTTAAAGACATAGTTACAGTTGAACAGTGGCAGAGCCCGCTTTAACATCTTCGCACGAATTGGCCCGGCTCGCCCGGTGGAATACCACACAGAAGACAGGCGTGAAGTGGAAGCAATTCCGCGTTTCGTCGGATGAGTGTGCGTCCCGGAGGCCTAATTTAGTCTTCTTTCCCTTCCCACCCTTTTTCTTATAAGGCAAGGATGGCAAATGGATGTGGACTTTCCGGGTGAGGGGATGCATGGGAAGGGAAAATATTCACTTTCTGTGCATCACCTTCTCCGTCGATTAAAGGTAGGTAACGCATTAGTAATTGCAGAAGTCTATGGGCAACGGTCGCTTCGCTGTCTCTTTCTGGTGACCAGTCGCTCGTTTGCCACCTTATTATAAAAAAAAACCCTACAAACCATACATGAAAACATACTCCTTAGTCAGTCGGGTAAAACCAAACCTTTAATGTCAGATTTTAAGCAAGTAAACAACGTGATATAAAGATTTCTTTGTTCCTATAGTGTTTTTTATAGAAAAAAATCATTCGTTACTTTATCGTAGCCGTATAATTATGTAGATATATTAAATACTTGGGTGTTTTTATGTAGGAACTTTTTATAATACGTTCGAGCAATACAAGGTCCTAAAATTTTACTTAAAAGTCATGTTTATCCTAAATCCGCGATTAAAAAAATACGTAACTCTCTTCCAAAATTGTAATCTTACAGACTATCACAATATTAACTCAATGTAAAGGTTCATTCTCACTTAGGAGAATAAAATGGATTACATGTTAGTTTTAATCTCCAAGTTCATTGCTTCATGTCGGTGTTCTACGTGGCTGAGGTAGTAGTCCTGTCAGGGTAAACCAGCCTAATGTTCGTAACAGATGTCGCTAGTGGACTGTTATTCATCTTACTAATCAAATGGATGGATGTTTGTTGGAAAGTATCTCTGGAACGGCTACATGGATTTTACTGAAATTTGAAATAGATGTAGAACATAATCCGGAAGAATACATGGGCTGCTTATTAAGTTTGTTTTTAATTCCGAGCGGACAGACGGGCGACAGTTCGTATTAAAAAATACGAGCTGTCGCCCGTCTTATATAAAAATAATATAAGGCGACAAACGAGCAGACGAATTTACTAGAGAAATGTACCACTACCCATAGGCATCTGTACATTACAAACGCTTTAAATATTTAATTACAAACGCTTTAACAGTCATAGGTGGAGACTCATAGAAAGTTTATATAACCCCTTACTATACGTGAACTCTCTGTGATTTCCACTTTTATTGTATTCCAACTAAAACATTCCGATTGCATAGATACAGGTATAATTCGACGGAAGATTTTAACTACCTTGAACTCTTACGTCACAAAATCGACGCATATAAAGTATGCGCACAAAAATAATGTTATGGAAATACAGAAATAGATCTTTATATATCTTGTTCGATTAATTAAAGCAAACGTTTGTTCTTCCATAATAGACTAGACAGGTTTTATACATTTATCGGAACTAACAAATTAATTTACTAGAATCATTGAAAACTATAGAACATTTAAACAACTTTGTATAATATTTTTTCTTCATGAATATGAATAGAAGCATCAATCATTCAAAACAGTCAATAATTGTAATTGGTGGTGTTTACAATAATATTAATTTTAGGCTTATTAGTCTGTACTATTTAATAAAAACTATATGATAAAACTAATTGATTTTCATAGCTGAATTTTTATTCTTCCATGTTTTTATTTGTAATGTTATTTACTTTAACACATAAGGAAACAATCCAAATGTTTATAGGTTTGTTACCTTTTTTATACGGACAATTTAGTTCAAGAACAAGATCGCCTTTATATCAAGGAAGCTTTGCAAATGATTCCGCCTCGCAAACGTGTTATCAGGACTTCAACATAATATGCGTTGAATATATGTATACCGACCTAATTATGAGAACATCGTGAATATACTGGCCGGTGTTGGTTTGCTCCGCTCTTGTCATTTAGTCGTTCGCGGAATCATTCAGTTGGCGGACGCGCCGAGTTGTCTTTGCCTTTTACATATTAAAAATAAAACTTTCATTTCCCGCGTATTTTGACAGTTCACAGTATAGTGACGCGTTATATAGTTCTTTCTAATTTGTCAACAAAAGTAAGTTTATTTTGATAATCCCTTGAATCTTAATTAATTATAAATAGTTGTTATGTTATGCGAGATATAGAATGCATGATTGGTGTGTGTTACACTAGAAAATATTTTCAAAAAAAAAACCAAAAAGCAGATACGACAAAACGAATAGGCGAGAGTTAAATTAATAATACAACATTCCTTACAAATGCAAATTGATAATATCATTAACATTGCATGAGTAACATTTGAGTTATCGAATGGGAATGAATGTCGAATTTTAAATTTTAAATTTATCATAATTCTTTTTTAAAAAGTTCGCCTGTTATTTATTTACGATAAAACATTTGTGTTTTTACTTAAGTATGTATTTTTATAGGTTTGGTATAACGTTTGCTTTCCCATAGTGATAATTTACGGCTCGTAATCTAAATATTTACCATACTATTTGTAAATATAATAAAATTCATCAAATTAACTTAACATTTATTAACATAAATGTAATTCAAAGTATTTTAATTTCGCTTTAACATAAAGCAAAAATAACAAATTTTATTTGAAGGTAGTTTAATTTTATTAAGTTGAGTGACATAGCGAAAAGACTCTAAACAAGTTTATTAAAAATACAAATGTCAAATGTGTCATTGTCAAGGTTTTGACGAACGCACCGCTTAAGGTACCGCCGGTTAGTATACATATGTCAGCTATTAATAATTATACCTTTACAAACAGTAGCCCTCGACTCCGTCCGCGCGGAATTAAAAAAATAACTTAATTATCCTATGTTCTTCTAGACTTTGTTCTACATCCTCGCCAAATTTCATCAAAATCCGGTGAGCAGTTCTGGAGATACCTTTAAACAAACATCCATCTATCCATCTATCTAAACATTCGCATTTATAATATTAGTAAGAAATAAGAAGTAATATTAGTAATATTATAATGCTGATAAAGTGGCGGGAGAATTTATATTTATTTATTAAACTTTCCAGGAATTAAAAAACCATAGGATGTTTTGGTAAATGTTCGATTTATATGGGGTCGGAAAAATAACCCAATTAGGCCGATTGATCGTGAAACATCCTTTAACTCGAAATACCCGTAAATATTCTGTTGATAAAAAATAGTATTGTCAATTTTATGGCAACTTTTCTAGCGAAAATTCGAAAAGTCAACGGCAAAAACGGCTTACGATATTTTTTTTATTATAAGATACATACCTCTTGCAATTGGTATGTACATTCTATGTATTATAGAAAAAAAATTATTATCACGGATTTAAATTGTACACTCATCATTATCTTCCGATACATCAATAAATGACTAGATTAAAATGAATAAAAAAAACACAAAAAAACTGAATAGTGCGATGGAATATTTGGCACTGCAAAAAACTGTATGTTTTTTTACACCTATGTGCTATTGTGATAAAGTTCAAAACGAAATACTTCCCTTTTTTACATATAACATACAGATATATA